AAGAGCGCAATGATAATACCAACATGGGCCAGTGAAGCAACGTCCTCCACAACTAGACTGAAGAACAAAAGGACAGCAACTTGTCTGTTCCCCTTCTCCGGTTCCCCAATGCTGTTCCCCTCCCCAAATTCCCCAATAAAATCTTTTTTTTTAAAAAAAAGGAAGGCCATCCTGACACATGCTACAGCATGGATGAACCCTGAGGACATTATACTCTGTGAAATAAGCCAGTCACAAGAGGACAAATACTGTACCATTCCACTCATATGAGGTACCAAGAATAGTCAGATTCATAGAGACAGAGTAGAATGGTGGATGACAGGGGCTGAGGGAGGGGCAATGGCGAGTCAGTGCTTAGTGGGTGTGGAATTTCAGGTTGAGAAGATGAAAACATTCTGGAGATGGATGGATGGTGGTGATCGTTGCACAACATTGTGAGTGTACTAAATACCACTGAACTGTACACTTAAAAATGGTTAAAATGTTAAAATTTTTATGTATGTGTTACCACATTAAAAAAATTTTTTTTAAATGCAGGCGCAGTATTGTCTTTGAACTTGAGATACTAGGCTTTGGCTTAAGTAACATTCATCCAGACCATGAAAAGTGCTAGGTTTTTCTATTCCTTATATCCATCCCTGTTTAGGGCTCTGCTACGGTAGAGAAAGATCTAGAAGATGGGATTGTCACAAATAAGGAGTAAATCCAAAGGAATCTCTGACCCTGTTTCTCAGTGAACCTTGTTATAATGAGGGCATGATTCCCTGTGTCACACCCTTTGCTGGTGTTTGTCCTCCCTTACAGGGTTTCCGGGGACAAACCCTGAACACCTTGTTCCCATGTGAATAAGACTGCGGGGGGGGGGGGATGGGACACAATTTGGTGCAAACTTGTCACACTGATGCCTCTGAAGCATGTTTTGTCACTGTGTTAAAGTGTATTCTTCAGCCTCCCGATTCTGTATTGTGATAGAATCAGAGGAAGTCTGGAGTCTTGTAAACAATCTACCGTATTTGCCGGCGTATAAGACTATTTTTTGGCCCTGAAAAATATGCCTCCAAGTGGGGGGTTGTCTTATACGCCAGGTACACTTCAGATAGACTGCCCATAGTGCTTGCCCCGTGCCATAGTGGCCTCCCGATG